ATGAGTTTCCACGGAGCACAGTGCCATAGTGCTCACTCCCCATTTTTATCATGTTTTTCAGGTCAGGATGTCGGGCCGGGAGCGTGACGTGACGGAAGCTTCAGGACATTTGTGTTTTTGACTGTATAATTATGATGATGAGTTACGCTTCCGCTAATGATATTTTGATGACTTGTGACGATGTTTTTCATGACTTTTGACGTACTCATTTTGACGAACTTATCTTTTGATGAACCTTTGAGTAACTTATGCTTCGGTAACCGGATGATTTTATAAAAATCAAAATAACGTTTTCCAAATTAAGTCACGATTTTAAGGTAGCACCCCTAATCAGTTTTCGCAAAGTAAAAAGGCTTCATTTTTAAAAGACTTTGCGAATTTTTGCGCACTCTGATTTTACGATAAGGAGGGGTGTTACATAACACGAGCCTGAGTAGGAGTTACAAACTGTTTGTGTGAAGTCGGTGTCCAGTTCGATGCTCTAATTTTCAGTAGAGCATTCGTAGGGGGAGTGAGACTCTTGACAAACAGTCCTGGAGCAAGCCACTTATTCAATGACCCACCAGTCAGAGTGTGGGGAACTTTGTCAAGATCATCAGTGAGTGGAGAGAGAGTGGAACTTTCAGCCATACCAAGCACAAAGTTAATTACAGATGGAGAAAACACAACGATACTATTCCGAACAAAAAATTTATGAAACTTCATGGATCTGGGGTCAGAAACAGAAGTGGTCAGGTTTGAATAGAATTCAGCAACAAGTTGTGGACAGTATTTACCCACAGACGTCATAGAACCTTTAAGACAAACCTTTTTCAGTAGTTCAAACAAGCTAAGTTGTTCAAAGTGCTCACTCACAATCGTCCTCTCAGAACGAAATTTCGTTTGAGAAAATATACCGAAGAAACGAGTTTCAGACATAGGAGTGTAATATTTGCAGGAGAAAGCATTATCAATATCAAGTGGAGTATTTGAACTGTCACCTTCAACATCATTGATGGTTTTCTGTTCAACAGCAGGGGAACTTTGTTTGGCAATTGCAACCTAGTTGTCGGAATTTTCAGGTTCACAAGTATAACCATCAATTTCTTTTTCAGCAGAATCACCATTAGAATCTGGGGATGATTCTCCTCCAGATTTTGTGACAGAAGGAGTGCCAGTAGTAGGTTCAGGAACATAAACGACTTTTTTCGCCTTTTTGGGTTTAGCTCCAGAGGGTGCTGGGATCTTCTTGCGCTTCTTCAAGATTTGATGGCGGAGGGAGAATGTTTTCCTCCTTTCTCGCTGGTATTGCCACCTTTAGGTTTAGAGCCCTTTGTTGTAGAGGATTTTTTAGGTCTTGGTAAAACCCTAGGCGCGACTGGATCAAATGATTGAGGATTTTCGATTTCCATGGTTGAAGGAGTCCGATCCTGTGGAGATTCTATACTCTAGCTTTAACGAGTTGAGCGCCGAGATGGTTGAGGAACATTCTTCTTGGGCTTCACGGTTCCCTGCTTGGATTTCGACATAATAACAAAAACGATTTCTCACAAGTATGGAATGTTAGAAGATTTTGGAGAAGAAAAATAATCCAACGATTTTAGGAGATAGACACAAAAGGTGGCAAGGTGCTATAAGGAACCGAGATTTCGGTAATCGAGATATGTGATAAGATGATTCAGCTCAAAATTTGAATTTTAAATAAATAAAAACCGCTCGACACTTCATGCACAAGAAATTGTTCCCTCTAAATAGATTACTTACCAAAATTAATTAACAAAGCTACCATATATAACGAATGAAGTTTGAGACGAAAATATCATCCAAATCATGTACCAAAAATAATTTTAGGCTCAATATCGAAATAATATCTATCGCCGAAAAAATCTGGATGCACATGCCTAAATAAATATTTAACACGCAATACCTAGAACTTTCAGTTCACGCAATATTGAAAAAATCCATTAGTTGATTAACCCACAAATCTTTCCAAATCAATTTGAACAAGCTCGACACTATCAAGGATGGGAAGAAAAATGAATTCCCATAATAAGAACTCAGCCCTTATTACTCCACTTTTATAACCCACATAATTAATATAAGTTCATTCATCACTTTCTCTTAGCAAAAAATAAAATCTTCGTTCGCAATTCAGCCCCAATACTAATGATGAACTTACTTCGTTCTATGAACTTCAACACCAATTCACTTACTAACATTAACTATACGCCAATGTCAAGCCCATTACTT